GGTTAGATCATGGCTCTTTCTGCAGGGCATGCCTTACCCTGACCCACTGTTGTAGCATACATGGTTTTCCTTGAGTTTTTTTTTTTTTTTTTGTGTGTGTGTGTGTGTGTGTGTGTGTGTGTGTGTGCACGTGCATGCACGCTCACGTGTATTGTTAATATCTGTAACTAATTTTAAAAGCACCCAGTCCTTTAGGGGCTTTAATAAAGATGAGTTGTTCCCTCCAAAAATTGCTGAGGCCCAGTTTAGGAGATTCACATTTGAAAAACTGTGTAAATGTTGGCACAGGGCACTTGAGATGATATTATCTGATGACAATTTATCATTGTCAGGGAGATACAGAGATGTGTATCTTAAAAAAAATTCCATGTAATATGGAAACAATTATCTTGTCAAGGCTGGAGAAGTTTTGTCAAATAATACAAGAAAATATACAGTGAAATTTTGGAAAGTCATGTGAAAGAGTGAGACTAACCTTGAGGCCAATGGCGTCATGGGTTTTGATACCCGAAGCCTGTTTCTACAAGGCAGGGGAGTTCCTCTGCCTTTGCCTTCCAGATGTGCCCTGTGGAAACCTGGGCCAGGCTGATGTTCAGGCTTGGCCCTTCTCCCGGATCCTACTAGTGAGCCCCTGCTTATTATGCAGACCAACAACCAAAGAACTAAAGCAGGACACCTCCTATTTTTTCCCAGTGTGTTTTCTTTAACAGGTGAATGTTTTTGAGGGCTGAAAGAAATTATACAGCTTTTCTCTGTCTGCAACACACAGCAAGCACAGGGATATACATTTCCAAAGAGGTATCTTATCTTAGGCTGTTGTTTTCTTTCTTTCTTTCTTTCTTTCTTTCTTTCTTTCTTTCTTTCTTTCTTTCTTTCTTTCTTTCTTTCTTTCTTTCTTTCTTTTCTTTCTTTCTTTCTTTCTTTCTTTCTTTTCTTTCTCTCTCTCTTTCTTTCCTTTCTCTCTCTTTCTTTCTTTCTCTCTCTCTCTCTCTCTCTCTCTCTCTCTCTCTCTCTCTCTCTTTCTTTCTTTTTTTTTTCAGTGCTGAGCTCAAACCCAGGACCTTGTTCATTTCATGCTAGGCAAGCACTGTGTTCCCAAACCAACCCCTTTTATGACATTGTTTGTACTCACCACATGCTAGACTTTGAGTTAGGCTCTTGGGCTCCTGGATGAGTAAGTCTCCAGGAGCTGACAGGTTGATAGGACGGGGCTTGGAAGCAGCATGTAAGTAATTACAGGTCAGTGTTATGAAGCACTGAGATGTGGTGAGTCATGGTACTAACAAGTGGCCTGGAATCCATCCCTGGAATGAGCATGTTGGAGAAAGGCTGCTGTGGCTTTTCTGATTTTGAACGCCCTTGGCTTCCAAACTGCTTCAAGCTGGTGCCCATTACCTGGGAAAGTGGGTCCCGAGGTGAATGGTATAATTCACTGCAAGGAATGGGAGTGGACTAGCTCAGAAAGGCACCCTAAAAGACCTGCCACCTACACCAAGTTGCTTCTTCAGGATCAATCAAAGCTGAGCAGGCTGGAGTCAGAGGACAGGTACCCCAGCTGAGGGGCTGTGGGAAGAGGGAGAGATGGGGAGTGAGTACTGGCTGGGTAGAGGTGCAGCCATTGAACAGGATGACAGCGTGAATTTGATGAACAGTTTGGCGATGAGAACTGCTGGAGAGAGGGAGGACTCTCCAGTTTCCTCTTCCCAAACGACTCTGGCTTGTGTCAAGTTGATATAAAACTAACCAGCACAGATAGAGAACAAAAAACAATCTCCTCCCTGTTGTGTGAGACACAACACAGGTGATCACTTACCCAAGAAATGGAACTCACAATGGATCAAAGTAACAGCTGCAGTAATGTCCATCTTGGTAAACCAATGAGTTTTCACTAGGGTTACTAGCGGGAGTGTGGGTGAGGAGTTACAGGATCAGAGATGACAGGAAGACATGACCACAAAGCCACATGGTGACCCTCATGAAAGCGGCGACCCCGGAGCACTCTGAACAGCTCGCAGGCAGAGTGAATGGTCTAAGTCTCTCTGCTCTGCTCAGATAGTCAGTCTCCTCTTGCTTCTGTAGCTTTTTCCTCCTTGTATAAAGCTGGAGGGGGCAGAGGGGGTCTTCCAGAATCTTCCGAATTTATGCCTTTTCAGATGTGTAACCTTTTGTTAATCTTTTGAGTTTCACAAGACCCCTCCTGGAGAGGATGTTTCCATTGGCAGGAAAGGGCCTCACACACTTCCTCACTCGTTTACCAGCCCTTCCCCCTCCCTGTTCACCCTTCAGATCTAGTTGAAGACACTAATGCTCTGGTGCCCCTTCTCTCGCCACAGAATCTTCATGCTAAACACGCCTCCAAGTCAAATAATACTGCCAGTGTCTGTGTTAGTCAAGTTCAACAGAGCTCTCCAGAGCATTGTTGGTTAGGATTTGGCCTCAGACGAATGACTTCCATTTTTTCTTTAACAAATCTATCCTCATTTCAAAAGTAAATGATACTGCTAAGACACAGCACACTTCAAATTCAGATTTAACATCGGAAGAAACCAGAACACTTTCTCTTCAAGATGCTTTACATCTGCAGGACATAATTGGAAGGGTCATCTTGCTCATGTAACCAATACAACCCACTTTACCGCCTCTGACTCATTTGATTCTAAAGTTCTCTAATGCTTTAGTACTTCCCCACAAGGAAATTGGGTTTCCGAATATATTTAAAATCCGATAGGTTGACCCAGGGCCTTTAGTCTTTGGTTGGAAGCACCGCTGGAGATTCCGCGGTCACTACCACAGCATCATGGCCCTTCAGTTTGTCCTCAGCTTAGTATCAACCTCCAATGCTTTCCGCTGGTTACCACATAATAACCTTGTCTTTAGGGCCTTATTGATGTATTTACTTACTATTTATTTATTGAGACAGTATTTTACTATGTTCCCTCAGTTGATCTCAGACTTGGTCTCCCTCTCACCCCTACCTCAGCCCCCCAAGTGCTGGTATTGTAAAGGATCATCACTGTGCCTGGCTGCTCTACCTTAGCTCTTGACATCTATCATCCCCCTTATTGGTAACTCTGAGTTACTCAATGGCGGGTGTGCCGTTTGCTGGGCATAGGGATGCTTTTTTGCCTAAGGTATGCTTCACCAGATCTTCCTGGATCATGAGAGTGTGCCTGTGCTAGGAATCTGCTCATTCAATTCCCTCCCTCCCTCCCTCCCTTCCTTCTTTCCTTCCTTTCTTCCTCCCTTCCTTCCTTCGTTCCTTTCCCTAATGTCACTTCTCAGTGAGGTCATCTTCAATCACCTTTTACAGTGATAACCCTCTCACATTCCTGTCTCTGTTCCTCCCTGCTAATTATTGTATTCTAATTTACTCACTCACTCACTCACTCACTCACTCACTCACTCACTCACTCACTTCTATTGGTGAAATTATTAAGGCCACTCCACGTAGTTAAAAGGAGATTTATTTAATGGCGTAACTTACAAATTAAGGGATAGGTAGGTCGCGGGGTCTGGGGAAGGTGTATCACAGTCCAGCGGTGTTCTCTGGAGCTCTGCTTGGTCCACCTTCACTATCCAGGGTCCCGGAACGGAGAGAGCGCCCACCGATCCAGATCTCGGGTCCCCAGGCGCCTCCCTTCGCCCGGCCTTGTAGGCGTGACAGTTGCCGAAGTCTCAATGGGGGTTGGAACTTGCAGATCAAAGCTGGAATGGCTACCCACTACACACTTCCTCTTTCAAAACTTGACCTTTTAATGTGTCTTCCCTTTGCCATTACAATGCAAATTTTTTGATAAATTCCTGTGTGAGTGACCATGTTGAATTATTACTACACAGGATCTAGAATTTGATGTGTATTGATTTCTCAATACATATTGAATTACAAATGAGTGAATGTTATGAAGGTGGTAGGATAGTCATTGGTTAGGAGCCAGAGATCCATATTTTAATGTTTACATATTCCTATAATTAGAAACTCTTAAAGATTTCCTTTCTGCCTCTCTATGTCACCAACAAAATGGGCATATAATTCCTGTTCTACTGGTGGGACTTATGCAAAGATTTTGTTTGTTGGGTTTTTGAAAACAGGATCTTTTCTAGGCCAGGCTGACCTTCAACTCACTATGTAGTTAAGTATGACTTAGAATTGTCAGGCCCCTGCTTCCACCTCCTGGGTGCTGTGATTGCAGGTTTGTATCTCTACCTCTGGCGTATATAGTGCTGAAGATCAAATCCAAGGCACCATGAATGTTATGCAAGCACCCCACAGACTGAGCTGCATTGCCAACCCCCTTTGCAAGTCTGTCTTAGGCACCCTCTTCTGTGCGTGTGAGGGGATGCTTTTATTGTCTTGGTTACATCCAGTGCAGTGAGTCCTGGGATTTGTGCTCACTTTGCTACAAGCCACTCCCAAGAAGAGATTTGAATACAGTGTAGGGGTAATATAGTGTAGGCTCATTTCTGTGTTTCTTTGGGAACGCTTTAGTGGAGTCTTTGACTATCACTTAGAAGATCATGCATTTGAACTTGTAATAAGCTATTTAAAACTTGGAGAGTACAATAGTAACCCACTACAAGGGTCTGGTGTCTCACATTTGTCTGGTGGTGTGTGTTGATTTGGTATGCTGCATGCATTAGTTCATCTCACCCCCACTGACACACGGTGAGGAGGAGGGTGTGATGTCCCTTCAGAGATGAGAGAGAGTCGAGCCGAGCGATGCACGTCTGCAATCCCAACATGTGGAGGATAGCTTCAAGCTGGAGGCCAGCATGGGCTGCCCAGGGGCCAAGCCCATCCTTAAAAGCATTGAGGAACAAATCAAGCAAAAAACAAAACAACACACCTAGAGAAGCTGGCACCCCCAAAATCCAGCAGCTCCTCAAAGAGGACCTGGGGAGGGCTCATGTCTTTGCCTTTTTACTCTGAGTTCCTTAGCTCTGACAAAGACGATTTTCATTCTGTGGATGGTGTTTCTCATGGACGTGTTACTTTTTTTCAGACTGTTTATGACCAGTGGTTCATCACTCTTTTTAACATCGTTTACACATCACTACCTGTTTTAGCCATGGGGATTTTTGACCAGGTACGTTTTTTTTTTTCCCTATATTTGTTGCTTACTCTGTCTGTTGAGACTTTCAGCTATTGCCAGCTAGCTTTTAAGAAGAAGACCGATTCATGGGAAGATCCCTAGGAATGCAGTTTTTAAAAGAAGTGTTACATGGGTCACAAATCCTTCTGGGTCCCTTCCCTGCCTGCTGCTTCTCCAAAAAGGTTCTCCACCCAAGTTTGCCTTATCTGTTCTTAGGGATTCACATCTCACAGTGTTGATGTAAGGTTCTGAGAAGTCATGCATGAAGTCTTTTCTTTCATTTAAGTCCAGCATTTCTCAAATGTCTGTGATTATATCTTTTTAAAAATATAATAGTTTAAATTAAATTTTTGAGTGTAGTTGCTGTCTTTACTCTTTGGGCTCTTTGGCTTTTATTCTTTTGTCTCAGTTCTTCAGCTGAGTTGGGGGCCCACCACCCAGCTCCCATAAAACACACAGAGTCTTATTATTACTTATAAATGCAGGTCTTACTTAGCTTGGCTTGTTTCTAGTCAGCTTTTGTTTTGTTTTTGTTTTTTCGAGACAGGGTTTCTCTGTGTAGCTTTGTGTCTTTCCTGGAACTCACTTTGTAGCCCAGGAGGACCTTGAACTCACAGAGATCTGCCTGCCTCTGCCTCCCGAGTGCTGGGATTAAAGGAGTGTGCCACCACTGCCTGGCCTAGCGAGCTTTTCTTAACTAATTATCTTGTCTATCTTTCGCCTCTGGGCTTTTATCTTTCTCTATTTCTGTGTGACTTTTCTTTCTTTCTTACTCCATTGCTGGTTGTATGGCTGGGTGGCTGGCTCCTTCTTTTCTTGCTCCTTGATCTCTCTTCCTTCCTTATCCCTCTTTTTCTCCTTCTATTTATTCTCTCTGCCAGCTAGGCCCTCCTATCATTTCTCTTGCCTCACTATTGGCCATTCAGCTCTTTATTAGACCATCAGGTGTTTTAGACAGGCACAGTAACACAGCTTCATAGAGTTAAACAAATGCAACATAAAAGAATGCAACATATCTTTGCATCATTAAAACAAATGTTCTACAGCATAAACAAATGTGACACATCTTAAAATAATATTCCACAACATTTGAGACTTTCATAAACACATACAATGTGTTGTATCACACTCACTGTTCCCAACTCCTATTCCTAAGTCTTCTCAGATCTACCCCAACATCCCCACGGCCCCTCTTAACTTCACATCCTCCCTCTCTCTCTTTCAATGACCCACAAAGTCCAATTTATGCCACTTGTGTACACATGGATGCGAGGCCACCCACTGGAGCACGGTTTACCTTCCAGAGGCCATATTCTTAAAAATGACACTCCCTTCCCTGGTAGCTGTCAACTGCCACCATGAGCCCCTCTCCTATCCAGGCTAGAAAGGTGACTGGATTGATCTTGTACAGGAAACCACAGCCACTGTGAGTTCATGGGCACAGTGGCTGTGTCATGTCCAGAAGAAGCTGTTTTCTCCGCCATCCTCCACCCAGCCCTGACCTCTGGCTCTTGTATTATTTCTACCCACTCTTTTGTGACGTTCCCCGAGCTCTAGAGTGAGGGCATGTGATATAGATATCCCATTTATGGCTGAGTGACATTACAGACATTATTCTTTGTGCTTTGACCAGTTGTGAGTTTCTGTAGTAAGCACCATCCACTTCACAAAGAAGCCTCTCTCATGAGGTTTGGGAGTATTGACCCATAGGTGTAGAAATACATGTTTAGAGGTCAATTTGATACTGTGTCCATTTATCAAAATAAAAGTGGTAGGTTCACCCTCAGGGCTTGTGAGCTCACCAGCCATGGGTTCTTTTACAGATTTACTGTAGCAAGCATGAGTTGCTTCCTGTGGACCAGGGCTTATCCGATCAGGAAGCGTTTGGTTACTTTTATAACATATGTACCCCTGTTACACCCATGGATGTATCTTGCCAGGTTGATTGTCATTGTAGCTTTAGGGTTTCACAGCTGGATAAAATTTTTGATGACTTTTCTCCTTCGGTGCCCTGCATAGCACCTTCTGGAGATGTGAGAGCTAGCCTGCAGAGGGAGATTGTCCTGGGAACCAGCTTGATTTCTCCATGTCCTGTGACCAAGCTGTGTGGTGTCTTCAGCAATAGAATCTCACCAACAAGGTCTGCTGGGCAACCAGGGGCAATGACAATGTTTTATTATTATTGTGAGCTTCTCCAGAAGACCCCTGGCCAACAATTCAATGGGAGGTATCCCACACCTACTACTTGGAATTTTATTTGCCAATGTATGGCTTCTGGGAGAAGTATTATTTCCTAAGAAGGGTCTCTCTGTGTCTGTCTGTCTGTTTCTCTCTCTCTCTCTCTCTCTCTCTCTCTCTCTCTCTCTCTCTCTAAAGCTTGTAAATAGTAGGTTTCTACATGGCTTTTAAAAACATCCTTAATGTTAGTCATCCCTCGTCCCACCCTCTCCTCTATCCTCCCTCCCACCCCTCCCCTACTTAGATCTTCCTTTCCATTATTCTGTGTTTCCCCCTTACATTGTTGTATTTCATTATCCTCCTTCCTTAAGATCTTTCCTTTTCCACCAATGGCCCCTCTCCAGTTTCCTGGCTTCAACAGGTATTATCCATTTACAGTTTTCTATTGAGAATTCTCTGTTCAGATCCATAGCTCATGCTATTTCTTTTCTTGAAATGTATGTATATTCTAGACCAGGAGGTCTCAACCTGTGAGTCATAATCCCTTTGGGGGTGGCCAAACAACTCTTCCACAGAGGTTGCCCAAGACCATTGAAAAACACAGATATTCACATTATAATTCATAAGTAGCAAAACTACAGTTATGAAGTAGCAACAAAAATAATTTTATGGTTGGGGGTCACCATAGTATGAGGAACTGTATTAAAGTGTCAAAGCAGGGCCAGGAAGTGGTGCACACGCCTTTAATCCCAGCACTTGGGAGGCAGAGCCAGGTGGATCTCTGTGAGTTCAAGGCCAGCCTGGTCTACAGAGCGAGATCCAGAACAGGCACCAAAACTACACAGAGAAACCCTGTCTTGAAAAACAAAACAAACTAACAAAAAGAAGTGTCACAGCATTAGGAAGGTTGAGAACCTCTGTTCTAGACCCTAACCCTCTGTCCTGTGTGTAGCTGGTGAATTTTCTCCCGTTCTATAGGTTCTCTTTTTACTTGATTAACAGTTTTCTTTGGTGAACAAAAACATTTTCATTTAATGAAATCCTACTCATTAGTTGTTGATCCTATTTCCTGAGTGACCAGGGTCAGATTCAGAAGATCCTTAACTGAGCCTGTATCCTGACATATACCCCTTACTCTTTCCTGTAGAAGTTTTGGAGTCCATGATTTATTTGGAGTTGATTTTTTTTTTTTTGCATAGTGAGATATACATTTTGAGTTTCATTCTTTTCCATGTAGCTTTCAAATTCCCCAAATACTATTTGTTTAAGATGCTGTGTTTTCTCATCCTGAGTGAGGTAACCCAGACTCAGAAAGACAAACATGGTATGTACTCACTCATAGCAGGATACTAGACATGAAACAAGGATGACTTGTCTGCTACTCACATCACCAGGGAGGCTACCTGGAAAACAGGACCCCAAGAAAGACACAGGGATCGCCCAATGACAGAGAAAGGGAATGAGATCTACATGAACAGCCTGGACATGAGTGGGGGTAATGAAAGTCGAGGGTTGAGGGAAAGAGAGCTTGGGGGAGCGGGAGATCCCAGCTGGATCAACAACAGAGAGGGAGAACAAGGAATAGGAGACCATGGTAAATGAAGACCACATGAGAATAGGAAGAAGCAAAGTGCTAGAGAGGCCCACAGAAATCCACAAAGATACCCACACAACAGACTGCTGGCAATGGTCGAGAGACAGCCCGAACTGACCTACTCTGGTGATGGGATGGCCAAACACCCTAATTGTTGTGCTAGAAACCTCATCCAACTACTGAGGGATCTGGATGCAGAGATCCATGACTAGGCCCCGGGTGGATCTCTGGGAGTCCAATTAGCGAGAATGAGGAGGGTTTATATGAGTGAGAATTGTTGAGACCAAGGTTGGATAAAGCACAGGGACAAATAGCCAAATGAATGGAAACACATGAACTATGAACCAATGGCTGAGGGGTCCCCACTGGATCAGGCCCTCTGAATGGGTGAGACAGTTGATTGGCTTGATCTGTTTGGGAGGCATCCAGGCAGTGGGACCAGATCTTGTGCTCATTGCATGAGTTGGCTGTTTGAAACCCGGGGCCTATGCAGGATTGTTTGGCTCGGCCTGGGAGGAGGTGACTAGACCTACCTGGACTGAGTCTACCAGGTTGACCTCAGTCTGTGGGGAAGGCTTTGCCCTGGAGGAGATGGGAATGGGGGGGGGGGTTGGGGGGAAGGTGAGGGGCACGGGAGGGGGGAGAACAAGGGAATCCGTGGCTGATATGTAGAACTGAATTGTATTGCAAAATAAATTAAAAAAATAAATTAAAAAAAAACGAAAAAAAAAAGATGCTGTGTTTTCTATAGTGTGTATTTTTGTCATCTTTAGTAAACAAATCAGGTGGATCTAGGTATGTGGACTTATATCTTGGGCTTCCATTTTATTCCACTAATTAATGTGATTGGGTTTTGTGCCAATACCATGTTGTTTTAACACCACAGCTCTAAGTTAAAATGAGGAATGGTAATGCTTCCAGCATTGACTTCATTGTTCCAGATGACCCTAGCTATCTTGAATCTTTTGTGCTTCCATATTAATTCTAATTTTTTCAGTTCATGAATATGGGAGGTCTGTCCGTCTTCTGTGTCTTCTTCAGTTTCTTTCTTTGGTGATTTAAAGTTTTTCATTGTACAGGTCTCTCACTTTGTTATGTAATTATATCTTTCCTTTTTTTTTTCTTTTTTTCCATTAAATGTTAGAGCACAGATTCTCTAGCTTTCTCCATCCCTAATCAGGTCACAACAACCCTACAGTCTATCAAAGAGTTGACAAGATACTTCTGTGACTCTTAAGATCACACACACTTGGCAGGAAAAAAAGGCCAGCTTTTCTCCTTTGCTGGCCAGGACAAAGGAAACTTTAAACGTCTGTCTCCCAAATAATGTGGTATGGAAATTCCTGCCATCCCTTGAGAGTCTATAGTAGTGAAAAAAAAATCTCAGGAGACTTGAAGGCTTCTCGTTCAGCTTCCCATCATGCTAAACATGGTGGATGAATGAGAATGAGCACATGACTACTCTAAGGCATGGTTGAGGAGAAGGATTTTATTGTACATATAAGGGAGAGAACAGTCAGAGGCGTATGAAAGAATCCAGACTGAACTGGGCCATAAGAGTGGAGGTGGAGGGGGTGAGAGAGGAAGAGAGAGAGAGAGAGAGAGAGAGAGAGAGAGAGAGAGAGACAGAGAGAGAGAGAGACAGAGAGAGAGAGAGAGAGAGAGAGAGAGAGAGTGGACCAAGAGAGGACACCAAGAGAGTGCATGGCTGAAGTGGCAGGTTTATACAGAAATGGGAAGTTGTGGGAAAGGAAGCAAAGCCCTTGGGATGGAGAATTACAAGGTAGGGGACAAGGTGAGAAGTTCTGGGAGGAGCCACAGGTACTGAGTGAGCCTTGTCCTGGGTTTTTTTTTTGACCTGACGGTGGCTATATGTCCCAATGCTCCCCTACTTCAAGCCCTGTCATTTCCTCCTCCCTTCATAGTTAACAAGGTTCTTTCTTCTAACAAACCTTATTCTGGAGGGTTCTTCACTTCAAGTCCTTTTGTGAACCTGTTGTTCTGGCTTCAGACATTAAAATGTATCAGAATTAGTGCCTCTGAGATCATGTGCAGGGAAATGCTGTGTTAGCTTCTGGGGCTTGTAGAGAACTTTGCAGGGCTAAGGAAAAATGAAGGGATGGGGTGGTGCATAAAATATCAGCATTGTACAGTGAACCCTCCTTGGCCAGCACAGAGCAGAAAGAGCTCCAGGGCACTGAATGGCCCGTCTAAGAGAGGTGAGCACACACAACCCCTCAGTCATGGGGAGACGGAACACAGACTTTTATTTAGTGTTTATGTGTGTGAGACAGGAGAATGGGGAGGAATCCATTCTAAGAATGGTGCTTCACGGCCTACTCTGGTTTGGAACATACTTCCTGGCAAGGAAGGAAGTCTGGCTGCCTGTGGGGAAGTAGAAGCCTAGCCAGTAGAGTTTCCATGGCACAATTAAAATGTATTACTTTTAAAATGTTTTTTTTTTAAGTATTTTTGAGACCAGATTCTCTCCAATCTGTTATTAGACCTGTTTACTAGACTTCGTTTTCTGGCTCAAAGCTATCTATTGCACAACACACGTCTTCGTACTGTGAGGTCACTCCCTTCTCCCGTTCTGTCTGCTTTGGAGTTGGTTCTGAGTCTCCTGTCCATATGTAAAAAGGGCATCTGCACAAAGTACTGAACTTCAAAAGACCTTAGATGTAAAGGATTAAGCACAAGCTCTTCCAAGTGCTGATGTTTACAACTGTTTCTTTTCTTGGTGCTTTGTAGCTGCCCACAATGTGGAATCAAATAGTAAAAATAAAGCAGTTCTGGGAATAAAAAAAAAAAAAACCAGCAAAAAACCAAAAACAGTTATTGTGCAATTTGAAAAAAGCAAAGCAAAACAAAACGAAACACAATAAGCCTCCTTATTGTCATCAAGTTGAATGTCTGTTCCTTTCCTTTCTTCCCTGACCCTTAAGCTGATGGCAGAGTCATGGATGCTGGCTACAAAAGGCCACAGGGATCATCTCTGGTGTCACTTATTATGTGAAAGGAAGCCAGCCCTGGGGGTTCTAGTCACTGAGCGATCAGCCAATAAGTGGCAGAATTAAGACCACCCCAAGCTTACTTGAGTCTGGGCAGCTACATTTTACTATCCTTGTTATTTATCATCACCATCGTTTTATTAATGTTTTGTGTGAGCATAGGTTTTTTATTTTTTACTTTTGAAGATTTATTTATTATATGGTGTTCTGTCTGCATGTATGCCTGCAGGCCAGAAGAGGGCGCCAGATCTCAGTACAGATGGTTGTGAGCCACCATGTGGTTGCTGGGAATTGAACTCAGGACCTCTGGACGAGCAGCCAGTGCTCTTAACTACTGAGCCATCTCTCCAACCCTAGCATAGGTTATTGACTACTTAATATGGGGCAAGGACCCTGCAGAAACATCTTAGTCATGACAGTGGTTTTCTGTGTGGGAGGTATTACTGTTTGCATTTCTGCAGATGAAGAAAGCAAGACTTGGTTTAAGTACAAGGCTACACACTGTCAAAACCTGTTACCAGACCTTCGGTTCATCCCTGTGTGGTCTCAAAGCCTGTGACTATAACTATACCAGTCACCGCACTAGAAGAAAGTACACTCGCATCTGACAGCGTCTCCAGGGAGGACTTCTCAAAGAGAACATGTCAGGATTCATGGAATCCTCCTCTTGGCAGTCTGGGCCAGTCTACAAGGATGAAGGGAATTAGAATCCCCTAGAATTTACCATCTGGTAGGTAGGTTCTTCTGGGAATAAAAGCAAGATAATGTCTTATTCTAGCCCAGTGAGTAGTAGGTAATAGGGCATGCTTACAACGACTTTGTCTATTTCTAGGGATAAGGAATACAGGGTCTCCCTGACTCTTCTCTGAAATTATACTCTGTTTACAGGATGTGAGTGACCAGACCAGCATGGACTGTCCCCAGCTCTATGAACCTGGACAACTGAATCTACTTTTTAACAAGCGTAGATTTTTCATCTGTGTGGCACATGGAATCTACACTTCCTTAGCGCTTTTCTTCATTCCCTATGGGTCCTTTTACAACGTGGCTGGAGAAGATGGGCAACACATTGCTGACTATCAGTCCTTTGCAGTTACCATGGCCACATCTTTGGTCATTGTGGTCAGTGTACAGGTAACCCTGTTCCTTAAAGCACCTCTGCCTTGATGTGAGAGGTTCAACATAGGTTAAAGTTCACTGTCAGGTGATTCCGCTTGGTAAGGTGCCAGGCAGGGAATAACCTTAAGAGAGTACAAGGAATTCCCTTTGTTTGTGTGTAGGCATATGCATTTGTGTGTAGGTCCTATTGCCTTTGTCCATGCTCGAGGAGGCCAGAGCCTGATATAAGGATGTCTTCCTCAATCATTTCTCTACCTTATTTTGGGGGATAGGGTATTTCACCAAACCTGAAGCTCATCATTTCAGCTAGACTGGCTATCAGCCGAGCCCCTGTGGTCTGCCATCTCTGACCACCCAGCACCGGGGATACAGGTGTGTGTGTTGCCATGCCTAGGATCTTACGTAAGTGCTAGGGATAAACTCAGGTCCTCCTGCATGCACAGCAAGTCTTTAGTCACTGGGCCATTGATCCAGCCCCAGAATTTTCTTTTTAATTGTGCATTTTGAAATGAAAGAAATAATCTTTAATAAATAATAAGATGTGCTAAATTAGTATTAGGAGTTTACAACCTTCATGTTTGTAGACATATAGCAATCACTTATTTGGGTTGGGTATTATATATAAAGAGAAATGATTAAGAGTTGGAGGTATAGCTCAGTGGTAGAGTGATTGTCTAGTATGCTCAAGGCCATGGGTTCAAGGCCCAGTACTGAAAAAACAGGTCTAACAGAGTGACACATCCCAGCATTAAGAGGCTGTAGCAGGAGGATTGCTCAAGGACAGGCTACAGTGTGAGACCCTGTGTCAAAATAAAAAGTCATACTACTGTTCCTTTCTTGAGAAGACGCATTTCCAAGGATAACAAAAGTTTCCTATAATTTCAGACGTAATAAGTCCCAGGTTCTAAAGTGAGAACTAGAACTTATTTGGTAATGCATTTTTAAAAATCACTCAAGAGATTCAGTGCTCTGTTCAAATGGCATGTTAAGAAGACACTCTGACGGGGGAGCTCTTGTGTTCCGAGTTGTGCTTTGGTTTGTTTTCTGGTGCAGTTGTGTTAGGTGCTCATGAGTTAGAGTTCACACACACTTCTGGTCCATTAATACCTGTAGCACCGGACTGATGTGGTGGGCGATACAACCTCTGTGTTATTTTGTTTTTGGTTATTGAGTGAACTATTAAGAATCAGATGATCTCTTTGTCACAAGTTCCAGTCATACACGACCATTTCTTGAGTATTGAGTGAATGAGGGAGATGATAAAAGGGATTTTCTCCCTACTGATCCTATCATAAAAAGAGCTTGTCAGGGTGTGCCCAACCATTAGAAAAGAATAATTAAAAATGACTTGCTTTTCCAGATTATATCTACAGTCTTCAGACATATCTATGGCCAGTTTACAAACAGCCTGAGAAGCAGTTCCCTATGCTGAACCTGGGACAACAACAGATTCAGCCATGTGCTATGGTCTCCTGTGAAATTCAGAAGCCTTTAAAAGCAAGGCCCTGCAGGGGAGCCCCACACAGAACTTGGGCCATAAGTGAACACAGAGTAAATCTGGAAAGAGCAGAAAAGTACAGAGAAAAGTTAAAATTCACCCACAGTCCCACACTACTGTTAACATGGCAAAAATAGTAGAAATCAATTTTGTGTGATTTTATCATTTTTTCCCACTGATCTTTGTTCATGAGTATGTATCTTGTTTTGAGATTATTCTCTGAAATGTCCTTTTCGTGGCTATAATACTTCAGCATATGAACATGCCATAACTTATCAACCAGGACAGTGTTAGATTGCTTCTACCATTTTCACTATGAAAAACAACACAGTGGTGAATTTTCACACGCCGAATTCTCAATGCTTCTTTATCGCCTTAAAGTATACTCTTTATTGGTATCTCATTTGTTTGTTGGTTTGAGAGAGGGTCTCACTGTCTGTCCTGGAACTCACAATATAGACCAGGATGGCTCCTAATTCACAGAGACCCACCTGCCTCAGCCTCCCAGGTTCTGGGATTAAAGGCATGTGCCACCATGCTCAGCCAGATGCTATTCTTAAAAGGAGTATTCTGGGTCCAAGGATATATGGAAGTTTGATGTTTCTTTTTTTAAAAACTTGTTGCAAAACATCTTCCCAAATAGATTATTTTCAGCAGGTGAGTATAAAATACCCTTCTCAGCCAGGCCTACATGGATAAGAGATCATTACTCTGATCACAACGTTAAGTCCATAGCCTCTGAGTACCTGGGAAATAATTGATGTGCATTGAAAAGTCTTTATTAAGTTTGTGATTTAAGCAAGAATAATTAAAAAAATTTTTTTTGCTTTTGAAATAATTATAGATTTGCAAACGAGTTGACACTGTAGTTCCTGTATCTGCTCAACCTGCCTTGTTAAGACCACACAAAACCATGATGGCACTTATGAAAATCAGGAGAAATTAGCATGGATACAGTTTTGTTACCTAAACTATAGGCATGGCTCAGACTTCCCTAGCTTTTCTGTTAGTAACTTTTCTGTATTCCAGTGACCAGCACAGGGTTCCACAGGGCACTTCGCTGTCGTGTTGCCACAGTCTTTGACTTCTGATGGCTCTGTGGTCTTTCTTCATCTGTAAAAAACGTTGAAGAACAGCGGTCAGATAGTTTGTAAAATGTTCTGATGATGTCTGAGCAGACACTGATCTATGAGTATGGCTGAAATGTCATCAGGAGTCAAGTTATTGCTACTTCTTTTGTATAACACTAGTATTTGGTTTTACCCTAGGTCCCTGCGCTGTCTGGTCTCAGGTTCTTGGTCACCCAAGCTGTGTCAGGCATGGGTTCCATCTCCTGGAGTGGGTCTTGAGTCAAATCAGTCATTGGTTAGTTATTCCCACAAGCTTTGGGCCCCCATTTCACCAGCATGTCTTCCAGGCAGGACACCACTTTATCTCAAAGGGGTTGTGACTGGGTTGTAGTTTAGGTAGGACTGTTTCAATTTTTCTTTTCTCCCTCTGCCTTTACTCTTATCTTCAATTTTGGTACATAAATGATGGTGTGTTGTTATTTCAGAATGCTACTGAATACTCCTTTCACATAAATTTTGAAGGTTCCAAATTCTTTTCAAATTAACACTGTAGCTTATGCTCATTTTATTATTTATTTAGAACTAATTATAAATTCACTAGAATCATTTTATGCCACCCTTTAAAAATTCTATATTTACAATTGTTTTGAGGTTTTTGTTTTAATTTATTTGGCTACAATAATATCTTTCAGAAATTAATAGAGAAAGGGTATCTGGATGTTAAAATTTTGAGCTTAAACATTCTTTATCTTTGTATTTAAAGACTATATTGGGTGAGAATAAGACTCTGGCTATAGCTCCTTCCACTCCAGCCCAAAGCCCTGTCAACTTTACTGCTATATTTCTATATCCCAGTTGCTCTGTGGTAGATGGATGTCAGCTGACCCCTTCCCTCTCAGATAGCACCCCTTTGGTCTAAAAGCTTATGCTCTTTATTTGATTTCTTCAGTGCTACCAGAATATGATCCCGCCACACACAGTAATTTGCCTGGGATTTGAAGAGTCCTCTCAGTCTGAAAATCTAGGCTATTGCTGGCTGAGAGCACGTTTCTTTTATCACATCTTTGACTGGCACTTCTTTATTTATTACTTATTTTGTCCAAAGATCTTATGAATTATATATTGGGCTCATGAATCTGATACCTACAGATTTGCAAATGGTTTCCATTTCTTATTTTGTGTTCCCTGTTTTTTTCATTTGTTCACTCCAGGATAAAAAGTTAGCTCTTGTCGGTGGTGATTCTTGTTTGGGTTTTCTGTTCAAGTTTTAAAATCAGAAGTGGTGTTTTTTCCCCTAAGGTTTGTTTTGTATCCTCTTAAGAGTTCTCTCAATGCTTAGCTGTTACTGTAATGCTTGTCTATCACATTTATTAGTTCCATTCCAATGGGAGATACCTATTCTTTTAGCTAGGTCTTTTTTATATGAGTTATAATTTCCTTTCCTTCTTGTAACATGGACCAGGCCTTTTCTTTTGCCAGTGATGAACTGACAGGTGATGGAAGAAAGAATTGGAGGTTCTGGTTTAGTGTCCTGGTAGCCAACTACACTAGATAATTAGCAGGTCTGGATGGACAGCAGGGCTGTCTGTCTTCAGTTGTAACAGTCCTGTAATTCAAATCTTCTGATTCCAGGGTCCTAATGCTACCAGTACTTCAGAGGGCAGCAAACTGCAGTGGGAGGGAACATGTTTCCATGTCTAGAGGGGGATATATCCATGTCACAGGAAGGGTCCCTTCAGGCAGAGAAGGAGTCTATGATCTTTTACCTGCACATCTCCTGAGGCCTCTGCCATGTAAATAACATTGTTGCTCCCACACAATATACTGGAAGGAAAGAACACACTCCCAGGTCACCACAAATTTTTATGACAAAAAAGTCAAACCTTTTTCTTTTGTGATTTGAGGAATCTAAGACAGAGGTCATCAAAATGAGTTGGAATGTTCACATAAAAATATCCCATGTGTAAAAAAAATCTTATAAAGTTTACACACAGCTCATAAAATGTTGCACTAGCCCACCACAAGGTTTTTTCCCCCATAGAAATATTTTGATAGCAATTTAGAAAATCATTCTTTTGTCTTATTTCTCATTCAAAAATAAAACCCTTAACATTCCACTTCCCAAGGCTGTTTCAACCTTGGCAGATACAGTTGCCTGTTTACCTACACTCTAACCACAAGTCTAACGCATGTCAGTCTACTGTGTGTGTGCAGAAGTGGAGGTGTGCAAGGTTGGGTGGTGATCTGAGAGCAGTCCTAGGGGCAAGCTTCTGTTTATAGTGACTCCTCTTTTGCATTTGACTCTATTTGCAGATAGCCTTAGACACCAGTTACTGGACTGTGGTTAATCATGTCTTCATCTGGGGCAGTGTTGCTACGTATTTCTCCATTTTACTGGCCATGCACAGTAATGGCGTCTTTGGAATTTTCCCACACCAGTTCCCCTTTGTTGGTAAGTGTCCCTTACTTTTGTGAGGCCCTGTGTCATACTGAAAGTTCTTTGTCTTTATAATGTTTTTTTTTTTGTTGTTGTTGTGTAGGGCTAGAAATGGCTAATCTTTTTTCTAGGAATTGACTCATGCACCTGAAGCCTTCCAGATTTGAAAGGGGTTCCAAAAGACTGCTATTTTCCTTGCTAGATGCAATTTATAGGCTCTAACAGCCCAGATGCAATAGGCTGTGCCCTAGAGAACAGCTGCACAGCCTGTGAAATGTTCATTTGTTTTACAGAGACAAGAGGAAGAAATACCCAGTTTTCCTTAGACCAGGTTACCACCAGTATATCTGTCAAAGTTCCCCCATAAATATTATCTGCATTTAGATAAAAGGGAAATGTTGCAGACTTTATAGCCCTCTGTAGATTTCTGAACATCCTTCCAGAAGAGATGGCTGACCTAGATAGTCAGGCTTCAAACACCATCTCCACCACTTAATGAATTGTGTGATGTTAAACGCATTTTATTTCCTTTCCACAATTTAAGATTTATTTATGAACTAGGTTATTAATTGTTCCCATTTTCAATAGAAAGAATTGAAGATCAAATGAGTCACTACATATAAAGTGTGAGGATGTATTCTGGTTAAATAAATATTAACTCTGATGATAGTGTTTGTCTTAGGTAGGATTTCTATTGCTGTGATAAAACGCCATGACAAAAAACAACTTGGGAAGGAAAGGGTTTATTTCTTCTTACATGTTCTGATTACAGTGCATTATGAAGGGAGGGCAGGGCAGGAGCTCAAGGCAGGAGCCTGGACACAGGAGGAGCCTGAGGAGCAGAGGCCATGGAGGAACACAATTTATTGACTTTCTCTCCATGGCTTATTCAATCTGATCTTTTTCTTCTTTTTCTTTTCTTATTGTAAAAGTATATTTAGTTTTTGTTGATTGGTGTTTCTCTCTCTCTCATTTGTTTTTTTTTTTTTTTGGTTTTTCGAGACAGGGTTTCTCTGTGTAGCTTTGCGCCTTTCCTGGAACTCACTTGGTAGCCCAGGCTGTGTCTTTTGTTTTTTAAGACAGGTTTCTCTGTGTAACAGCCCTGGCTGTCCTGGAACTCTTTGTGGACAGGCTGGCCTTGAACTCACAGAGATTCACTTGCTTCTGCCTCCCAAGTGCTGGGATTAAAGGTATGTGCCACCATGCCTGGCTCAATCTGACTTTTTTATAGCACCCAGAATGACTAGCCCAGGGGTGGCATCACTCACAATGGACTGGACCCTCCACATCAATCAAATTAAGAAAATGGTAGAGTCTTGCCTATAGGCCAATCTTATGGAGGCATTTTTCTCAACTGGAAGTCCTTCTTCCCAAATGACTCTAGCTTGTGCCAAGTTGCCATAAAACTAGCCAGGACAATATTATTATTCAAGAAATTGTGACTTGATGATTATGTTTGGGAGCATTGTGGGAGAATTTAAATGTCTGATGGGGTAGCAAGGAACCCCTAAAATTTCTTAAAGTCCTGAGTTTGCATTATTCAATAAAGAGGACATCTCCAGTGTTCCCGTGTTAAAGTTCCTACTTCAAAATGATTCTGGAAAGATCACTTTCTTTTACACAAGAACAATTAATATATTTTCCAAGAAGTTTGGAATTCTCTAGTACAGGTGAGTAAGTAAATAACAGATTTTTGGGGTTCACCTAAACAAACTAGAAAGGAATGATGCACAGAGACAAGTCTTGTGAGCTCAAACAGGCAGCACAGTGCTTCAGATCCATTCTAAGATTATCCCAGCCTAGAAAACAATTCTCACGAGACGAGACTGATCTGTGTAGGAAATGTCGCAGGATCAATTCTGAAGTGGGCATCCTCACTGATGCCAGGTTTCTATTTCCATCCAGCTGTGTGCGCACACACTGTTCTTCAACCTTGTCCCTTCTTACACGTACAGTAACCTCTTCAATCCTAACAGTCTTGCTCAATACACCACGTTAATACTTTGTTTACCAAAAGATTCCAGTCATGTAGAGACATGTTGGTTAGTCATGAGAACAAGCCAGTGAGAAAGGAAAACTCGAGAACTGTTCTTAAGTTTCATTTTATTTACTTTTGTGTTACCAAATCTGAAGGTTTAGTGCCTTTCCAATCCCAAAGACCACTTTAATGTGCAAAATGGGACTGCTTCCCCCTGGAGAATGTAGTTTGTGCATGGACTAATCCTTTTTAGTCAAGCACATGCCATCCGTGAATTAATTACTGAGATCCAATGAAAGTTTACAAAAGTTAGATCAACATTGGGGTTTTCTAAAAAAAAAAAATTTTTTTTCCTTAGTAACTATCGGCAAGGGGGTGTGGTTTTAAAGCAAAGCTTGTTTTTTTCAGAGTTGCCTGTGGGTAATGAGCATCAAGGAACTCCAAAAGACATCTAATTGATTGGATCGAGTTTGTTTCTGCCCTTGGCTTATAGCAACTGGAGTGGGCTGCTCTTTGGTAGACAGATTTACTTTCCGAAGCCAGAAAAAGCAGACATACCAATTAGTAGCCAAGCTCTCATACCCAAAGCCCATTTGAATGGTGTTACCATGGGTGCGTTGGGGTGAAGACCCGGCTGATTGAAGGTCTCATGATAAATCCCTAGAAAATGAGCTGGGGCAGGGATGGTGTCTTCCCATGAAGTCTGCCTGTCCACCCCCTTGCTGCCTCGTTTAGACAAATGATAAATATGTGAAGAATGAGTTTAAAGTCTGGAAGTTGGCTTCAGGCTTGGCAGTGAGTTTCTCTGGCCTGCCCTCTCTCATGTTGGGTGGCTGTGTCAGTGGTCATGGGGAACTCTTCTCATCAACTCAGGAGCCTCCAGGATTTCCTTAGATCTTTAACTCACAAGCAAGGGAGCATCAAAGAAATAGCAAATTCCTTTTGAGGCAGCTTTTCTGGGCTGTTGCCTAGAATTTCAAAGGTTAGCCTTGTGCTAGACACAGCACATCCCTGTGACATAGGCAGTCAGTGAGGCCATTGTTTGAGAATGGGCCTGAGTTCAAATCATTAATCAAAAGTTCTAATCTGATCATGGATTGTGAGGTTGAAAGAGGAATTGAGTCAAGCTGAACGGAGCCTGGAAGAGAGGATGCCTGGCCATGCCAGCAGTTCCCCAGGGGTTCGTAATAGTTTTAAAGATTTTTTTTAAAAATTTACATAATTATCAATTTAATTCATAATCACCAACTATAATTGTAAATTAATTTATATAATTATAAAGATTTTATAACAATTCAGTGTTTTATAGCTGGGATGTCTATGTCTCTCTGATGGTAGGAAATGCAGTGCACTCCCTGAGTCAGAAGTTCGTCTGGCTTGTTGTTCTCTTGATAGCTGTGGCTTCCGTCATGCCGGTGGTGACATTCAGATTCTTGAAGATGTGTTTATACCCAAGCCTAAGTGATCAGGTATGTTACTATACTCTGAGTACTTGAAAGCTGGTTGGTGGCTCTCGTGAATTTTGTCCTTCTCTGTCTGAACAGAGGCACAGGGACTGACTATTGAAATTCCCATAGGTCCATAGCACCATGACACAGTAGATAGTGCTCTCTCCACACGTTAGTGTACTAGACCTGAATGTCAGTGAAGAGAAGTGTATTAGGCTAACTGTGGGTATGGAGTGATGAACTGTAAGTATTTTCACCCCTGACTCTGGGAAAAGAAGTTCACTGAGATAATTTTGGAGTATTTCTTTAAGAGAAGGGCAAGCTATAGGGAAAGCTAAGGGTACCATGCAAGGAATCCGAACAAGTCACGTCAAGGGGTCTCATCGTTTGGGTGGAAATAGAATATTGCCTTGGGAAAAAGCAAGAGATGTTACCTGTTGAGCAGATTTGAAAAGGGAACAGCAGCTTTGAGTGGACTGGGAACACAAAGCTAGAAGAAAAACAGAAAGAACATGGTATAGAAAATAGCCTAGACCAGAGATTAGACCAGTTCTCTGTGGCTCCTGGGAAAAACAGTACAAATAAAGTGATGCCTGGGCTGAGACTCGGGGCAGAGAGAAGAGGATGAGGGGGGAGACATAATGGCACCATCCCACGAGGAAAGATAACATGTTTCTGGAGGGAGTCGGGCCGGAGCAGTGATGCCGAGGTAGCCTTTTCTTACTGTGATGTCCCTTACGTTCTGGGGGCAGAGTATAAGATGATTGGCAGAGTCCTGTGTGTCTGTTCTTTTGTGTTGGTTCTGAGCTGAATCCAACTCAGAAAATGATGGACAATCTGAAGATGCTCAATTTTCCTGTGTTAAAGACAATCGTCATGATTTGCTTAATGAGTGTCTTCAGACCTGAAAGTCAGAACTGAGCACTCGTGCAAAATCTCTGGTCATTTTCTCTGCTCACCTTTACAGGGAGATGGGAGATAATGTTGGCAACCCACCCAAATGATGTTTAGTTCTTAAAAGAAATTTTTTTTGAAACTTCATATGAGCGCTGCGTCCAGATCATTCTTCCCCTCCCCCTCTTCCACTTCCTTGTGCTCCCCATCCTGAACCCGTAATTTCTTCTTCTGTTATTGTGCCGAGTCTGTTTACTGTTGTCTGTCCATACATGTGCAGATACTGTACACACATGTCTAGGGATGACCACTTGAGACTGAACAACCTACACGGGGGCTTGTCTCCAGAGAAAATGGATTCTTCCTTTCCCGGTAGCCACTGACCAGCTGTAGCTCTTCATCTGGGATATGACTTTGTGAAATTTGCGATAGGTGTAGTTCCTGCCCCTCATTAAAGAAACTTCTTTGCAGCAGGTGGAGACCACTTCAGAGAGCCACACTTGTCAAAACCCGGAGAAAAGGTTTCTACGGGGTGCCCAACTCCAAATGATACAACATCTTTAACACAGTCCTACACCTGAGGCCCAGGAAATGTTGCTGAGGCGGGGTCAGAAAGAGCCAGAGGAACAAAATCCCTCCTGCTAGATAGGGTCCTTGAAACATGAGAGAGTGAATCCACCCATCAACTCACAACAATATGTTTAGTTCTTTAAAAGTCCTCAATCCACACATTCATATTCATGTAACACACACACACACACACACACACACACACACACACACACACACACACACACACACCAAAACAGAATAAATAAAAACCCCGAAAGTCTCATGGTAAGTTGACCTTCTATAAGAGAGGAAAATTCTGATTCCAATTTCCCAAATTTTCTCCTAATCCAGTTATTAGTAACTCCAGGACCCAGACAGACTCTAAAAGGGGAAAAGAGGAGAGAGTCTGTGAGTACTGGAACTATAGATGTAATATTGCTTTGCAGAAGTATGCTCCAGACTCTGGACCCTGTTCCCAGCACTGCTAGTAAAGCAGGCAACCACCTCACCAAAATTCTCCATAAGGCCAATGAAATGGAGACAGCATGAAATTTATTGGCACATTTCTTGTTTACATGAGAATTTCTTGATAGGAATAAAAAACCTGATTAGTGCCTAGTGTGATCTTTGGGGAGCGGGGGAGAATGTCATGGCTTTTAGGCTTAAAATTTCCTTTTCAGTGAAGGTGGATGTTTTCTTGTAGCAGATACTCAGTCTAATGTGTGGATTCATCATTTTCCCGTGCCTCTCTTCCTCCCCAGATCCGCAGGTGGCAGAAAGCTCAGAGAAAGGAAAGGCCCATACGAAGCCGAAGGCCTCAGGTCCGCAGGTCCAGCTCCAGAAGATCCGGGTACGCATTTGCTCACCAAGAGGGCTACGGAGAGCTCATCACATCTGGAAAAAATATGCGAGCTAAAAGTCCAGCCCCAACATCAGGGCTGGAAAAGACGCTTTATAATAACACGAGCTGGATTGAAAATTTATGTAAGAAAACCACAGACGTGGTGAGCGGCTTTAGTCACGATAAGACAGTGAAGCTGTGAGTCAAGACGGGCTTGAACCACAAGGTTTTCTTTTCACCTCATCTGGGGCTGAGCCTCGGCTGCTCAGGGGCCAAGAGCAGGGCGGATTGCCTTGCTTAACTTAAATCCATGGCCTCCTGTTTCCAAGGCCTGTCACATACTGGTGTGTTCTGCAGGAAACCGGGCCAGATGGGCACCATCCAGTTTGTGATTCTGTGGACCAAGCCCTCCCTCGTGGGACAAGCACAGATTTTTATTAACTTAAACACCAATTGATCTGAACTTTGAATCTTATTTATGAAAAAAAAAAAGTTTGTAAATTAGCATCTATACTGGATGGGTCCTGGGTATGTAAAAAGTGCATTCCAACAGTGTGTCTGAACCAGAAAACACATGTCTACAGATATACTGTGTATGTGAAGAGCTGCCTTTCCCAAATGTAAGTGCAGAATTTAAAGTATGCAGTACGGTGCTCTCTCTAGTTATGACCTCTACTTGCCAGTCCACCCTGGACAACAAACCATGACATGCCTGAAGAATACCTTAAAAAGCCTGTGGGAGATTCCCTGTTTTTCAAATCGCTCCAGGGACGAAAGAGAGTGAACATCTTTGCAGAGGGGCTGCTAATGGGGTCAGATGTATTCAGAAAGTGTTCAGTCTGTTCTAGGTAGGGACGAAATACCAGCGTGGCTCCCCAGGAAGTCTCCTAACGTTTCAGTGACTTGTGGTGGAATGCCACACTTTTTTGATAGTGTTCCATACAGTTCACGGGCAAAGGCTGCTGACAGAGCCCATTTTAAAAACTTGAGAATTAAAAGGAAGTGAGTGAATAGGCCATCTCTACTGTTATTTACTCAGGTTTAGGTCATGGAGACTCAATTCCTTTTAGTATCTTGTTGTTGTGTTTATAACTCAAACATCTAAATGTATAGATGTATAAGCTATTTTTTTTTTTTCGAGACAGGGTTTCTCTGTGTAGCTTTGGTGCCTGTCCTGGATCTCACTCTGTAGACCAGGTTGGCCTCGAACTCACAGAGATCTGCCTGGCTTTGCCTCCCAAGTGCTGGGATTAAAGGCATGCGCCACCACCGCCCGGCGCTAAGCTAATTTTTAAAATAGACATTACAGCCCAATTTTGGGATCTCTGGGTGAGCCACTATTTTATAAAGCTCTGTGTTCAAACTGCTGCTCTGCTGCCTCTTACCTCTGTGATGGGCAGGTGATGTGCCTTTCTTGAGACTCAGTTTCCTCCTCTACCTACCTACCTCATGTGGTTGATGACCATCAAGCACAAATTCTCAAACCATTAGAAACACAATTCTCACATGAATGTATGAATTAGGCTCCAACTAGTTCATCATCAGAACAGCAGAGCAATATGGGAAGAGACTGCAGGACCTGGGCTGTCAGTCCTGAGTAGAAGGACCTCAAGGAAATGTAGTTGCTAAATATGATAGAAAACAAGTAAAACCTAGCCCAGGGAATATATTTATGTGAACGGAAGTAAAATAAAGCATCTGGTCTTACTAGTTTTCCAAAATCAGTCTTCGGCTTTCCAGGCTCCTTCCTGTGGTCCCTACTCAATTGCTGATCAAACACAACTACTTTCCACAAAGAGCTCGTTAATCCTTATGTGGCCTTGATAGATGATGGGTTAGGATGATATTAATAGGTCAATGTCCCCTGTCCAATTGGTCTTGGTTTCTCAGGGTGATTTTTTTTGACTAGTACTCAATGAGATAATGTGTACACAGGAGCCTAATACCTAGAGCCTACACCAATAGCAAATGCTGGTAGCTATTTCTTATTCCTGTACGTATCTACCTAGACAAAAGTAAGACTTTTGTGTCTAATGATCAGCCCCAGTGTGCTTGCTTATATTTCATAACAATTGCAAAAACTTTGGAAACTTTCAGTAAATGTTTTGCCACTCTTAATGCTGGATGTTTTGTTTCATTATCGGGAACTCACCGGGGAAATTTTTTGTTACATTGTTCTAGCTCTCTCCCTTTCTCTCTCTCTCTCTCTCTCTCTCTCTCTCTCTCTCTCTCTCTCTCTCTCTCTCTCTCCCCCTCCCTCCCTCTCCCTCTCCCCCTTACCCCCCTCTCTTCTCACTCCTCACCCCCTGTCTCCCCTTTATATGCCTGGGGAAAATATACATCCTTTTTAGCATTAGAGTCAAGAGTTAGATGGACCGATTGGATTCATGTATAATACTAGAAATGGTCAATTTTGACAAGTTCAGTTCAAGTTTTACACTTGATCTCAGCCAAAAGGCTGAGAAGTGATCAGTTCAAATTGAAAAGGCCATTTATAAACAGATAGTGTAGAGGATTGTGGGAGAAACATTCTACTAGTTTACTTTGGTCATATGAGAACCAAATAAACTTATGCAGCCCACCGTAAGATACTGAACCGTATGGGGTAATTTTGAACCTGAAGATGAAAGTTGGTGGGGTGGTGGTGATATAAATAAAATAAATGCAATTTTACTTTTACATGAAGGTATCCGATTATTTGGGGAGTCTCCCTTTTCTAAATGTACTTAGAACTTCAGTTGTGCTGATCTTGACTTTCACAACCTCAGGCCAAGTTTGAACTACTACAGGCAAGAGCAAATTGTATTTCCCTGGGGCAGGTGTGCAGACTTTGCTGCTGAGAAAGGAAAAGGGAGAGAAAAGGTGAAGCAAAAGGAGAGGAGACAGAAAGGAGAAGCCAGAGGTGGGAGGAACGTTCTTAATTATGTCTCCTGAGACGGTATGATTCTGCAAAGCAAATATGATCAATCTCTTGAAGGAAAAGAACCCATGGGGTTAGAGACTTGAATAACAAAACTTCTTTACATCCTGTGTGTGCTCATGGAAAGATCTTTTGGAACAAAGCCAGGAATTCTGGTTTCTCATATCAGTAATGCCTTGATTTGTGTGGCCAAGGCTTGCGGTTGACTGCTGTGGGACTTTGTGTCTTCATCCACCACCTGGGAAGCTGGAAAGGTTGGTCTCCAAGGTCCTTTCTCATTTGCCCATTCTGTGAACTGTTTTGGTCCTCTGTACTGCTATGTGCAATTGGCTTTGATTGTTGCGAGTGTGAGGAGGAATGGAGAAACGGGGCAGGTGTGGGGAATCAGACTGGATGGATGCTCTCTTGAGGGGAGGGCCTATCTGTTGTTTATGTTCATCTAGAACAGTCACTGTCTTGGGGCTTCTGACAGAGGCGCCTCTCCCAGGTTTTGCTGGAGACAGACCTCTCTTACATTCCTTTCCTTGCTACCATTTTAATATCAAACAGGTGCAGACCAGAAGGTCAGATCCTCCTGCCAAGTGAGAGAAAGGCCCTTTAAAAGTATCTCTGCTTTATCTGGAGTCAGGTTGAAAAGCAGCGTCTGAGTGACATTCTTCATGGTCATGGAGCACTGGGCAGTATGTGCATGACTTCAGACTGTATTTTCTGGGCCTTACAGCCTATAGTGTTCAGCACATCCAAACTCAGCCTGTTTTTAGCAAACTGAAGCCTGGTGAGATGAAGTGCTGACTTCTTAGCTATTTTACAGAAAGGCCCACTCCCCAGTCACTCACAAGATCACACACACAAGAAAAACAAACATGTCTCAGAGAATTATTTTAAAAATCATTAGAAAAGATACAGCAAAAAGCCTTACTTACCATTTTATCATAGTAAGGCTCACTCTGTTTGTACCTGATCAAAATCCCTAAGACTGGTTCAACTGGTAATACTGTTAATGAAGTGATTGTGTATCAATGCATAGGGATTCAGGGAGAATCCAGAAGTGATGACTTGCAGATTTTAATGGGATTTTTGCAGGACCTGGATAAGACAACCATGAGGAACTGTGATTTCCAGTTTTGTTCTAACATCTGGTGTTAAAGGTCTGTAGTTCACTCTACTGCGTCATATCCCGATTCCTCACCAGGAAATCACAGACTTTTGCAATTCTCTAAGCTAAGCCTTCTGCAGCACTGTCAGGAAGCCAGAGATACACTGCCCTTGTATTTCAAAGTGCTCCTTGTGACAGACTTGGAGCCTTGCTGGGAGAATCTCTGGGTTTACAGCTACGACTTCACCAAGAAAGGGACCTATCTGCCCTGAAATTTCAAAACTCCCTGGAAGATCTATCCTAAAACTCATGCAGAATGTAAACCAAGTTTGGAATGCATGCAAAAATGTCCAGAGTGAAAAAAAAATGATGAGTTGGCTAGAAGGCTCTGGATATCTCAATTTGATCTCTATAAAGCTCAAAGACCAGTTCAAATTTGTAATGAATTACAGCTCTGGAAACATACATAAGAATCGATTGAAGCAACATGTAGGGTGAAAAGGGCCAAGGAAAAACACCCTGCCCTTATTTAGGAACAGGGATTGAAATCCCACCAATCCCTGAAGTCCCTGAGCACAAAACCCCACCAATCCCACGACACCCCGGTAAGTTCTGTCCACCCCACCCCCACCCCCTGCCACAGAACTCTATATAAGCTCTGTACCCTGTTCAGTTGGCCACTGCCTCACCCCAGAGGTGGCTGCCTTCCTGGATTCTTTCCTCCCAATAAATCTCTTGAATGAGGTTTGGGCGACAACCTTCTTTCCCAGGAGTGGAGCAGAGTGGAGCAGAACTATAACATTTTTGTTGGGGAAACCTTCTGCTAGCTGAGCAGAGCTGTTACACTCTGGGGGACCTAAGCAGAGCTGTAACACTTTTGCTAGTGAAACCCTCCCTTGCTGGGGCAGAGTTGTTACGTTGGGGAAACGTCTCCCTGGGGCAGGGTTGTAAGCTGCTTTGCTTACAGTGACTTTGTGATATTCCTTGGCTTCATTCTGGCTCCTGTTCTGGTCATCTCTGTGTGGTAGGCAGCGTTACAGAGATATTTAAACACAAGACATAAGAGAAAACACGGACAGAATTTAAATTTACACAATGAGAACTGATAAAAGGTGAAAGGCATCAAGATCAAAATGAAAGTCAAACTCAATGGGAGTAGTTAAACGTACAGAAATGTGCAAAAACCAAAATTCTACAACATTTTCATCGTTACTGATTAGTAGAGGAAATACTGTTATGGAGATACAACTAGTGATGACTACTCAGATACAGTTTAGAGACAATGAACATCTCTATTCCAGCCAGCTGATACTACACTCAGGTTTTCAGGTCCTAAGTGTAGTCCTGAGTGTCCAGAGTATAGAGTTTTTGAAGGCAGAAACCACATCTTGGAATCTTGCTTGGCAGCTACAGGGGAGCCTCACACAAGCAAGCAGTTTAACAGAAGCTAAGGTAGGGGGTTTTCTGCACAAGTGAGCAGTTTTACAGAGGCTAAGATGAATCATCTGGGGCATCCTGACCTTGGGTTCCTAGAACAGAGCTGGGTAATTTTCCACGGGATTCTCCATCAAGGAGCTCAACTTCTAGTTGAAACTGAAATGGCCTCAGACAGAGTACAAATGGAGGAATCTCTGCACTGTCTTGCCCTGTCACAATATAATAGGAAGTACATTTGAGCAGCAATTCTTAACAGAACATAATTGGGGATTTAAAATATCTCACACACAATCATGCTAATATCATCAATCACAGCCTTTTAGGTTATAAATGCAGGATAGAAAACATTAAATGGGATTAATTACAGAGTAATTCTCTGTTATTGAAAGTAATCTTTTCCCTCACATAGGCCGCTGCCTGATTTCCTGAAGTCAGCCCTCCCTCACTCCCACATAGATACACATACATCAAAGATTAGAAACTCAGATCCCCATATGAGAGAGAACATACGCTGTTTGACTTTCTGAGCCTGGGTGACATCATTTAATGTAATACTTTCCAGCTCCATCCATTTTCTTGCAAACTACATAATTTAATTTTTCTTTATGGCAAAATAAAATTCCATTGTGCATAGGTACCACATTTCATTCTCCACTAATCTGTAGATGGATGCCTTGCTGTTGTGCAGAGAGCAGCAATAGACATGAACAAGCAAGTATCTCTATTTCCTTTGATGAACTGGGGTCTTTTGTACTCCAAAGTGAGTTTTAAAACCATTTATTCTGTGCCTATCAAGTTGAAGTTCATATTTTGATGGAGACTGCTTTAAATCTGTAGGTTGCTTTTGGTAAGATGGACCTATCCACAGTATTGATTCTTCCAGTACAAGAGGATTCGAGGTCTTTCCATTTTCTAGTGACTTCTTTAATTTCTTTCTCCAATTTTTTAAAATTTTCATTGTAGAAGTCTTTCAGTTTAGGGAGATGGTTATAATTCTAGGGTGAATTTCTTTAAGGCTCTTGTGAATGGGATTGTTTCTTGGATTTCTTTCTCAGTATATTTGTCATTGGTTTATAAGAAGACTGATTTTGTGTCCTACCACTTTACTGAGAACATTTATCAAGTCTAGGGATTTTTTTTAGTGGATTCTTTAGGATATAAATTATTATCTCACTTTGGTTTAACTTTTGTAGTTCATATTTATCTGGAAATTAATTTATCCCTTTTATATTTTCCAATTGATTAGAACATAGCTTTTTAAGATATAACCTGGTGGTTTTCTGAGCTTCATTGTTATCTGTTGTACTGTGATGGATTTCCATTTCCTTCTCTAATTTTATTAATTTGGATTTAATTTTATTAATTTCTCTCTGTTTTAATTTGGTTAATTTGGCAGAGGACTTACCAAGTTTGTTTATATATTTTCAAAGAACCAACTTTAGTTTCATTGATTTTAATTATTTATTTAATTTCTGCTCTGATTATCATTATTTTTTCCAGTCTACTGCTTTGGGGCTTGTTTGTTGCCATTTCCCTGTCTTAGGGTTTCTACTGCTGTGATGAAAGTACTGTGACCAAGAGAACCTGTGTGGGAAGGGGTTTATTCAGCTTACAACTCTCAAGTCATACTCCATCACCCAGGGAAGTCAGGACAGGAACTCAAGA